AATCTCTCTTTAAGAGGGGGAGTGGGAATACATAAACATAAACTTCTATACTTTACTTGGCATGCATTTAATTTGCTGCTTGAATAACTCAACCTGAGTATATTTTAAATATTCATATCTTATTATTGTTTATTTTGATGACTTATGCCACAGACATTTATATTTAATTCTAAATTATTGTGCCACTTTAATGTTGATGCATCTCATGTATTATTGATTATTGATGAACTAATGGTATCTTGTCAAGTTCTATGTTTAGAATGAATTCTTACAAGTCTCATCAGTTTGTTAACTCCTTGGCTTGGAAGACTCAGAAATATGTTATCAGCTTTTAAACTTATCAGTTCATCAGAAAATACTATTGGCCCTTGAGCCCATTAGCTATTGGCTTTTTTAGCTCATTCGATCTACAAGAGCTTGCGTCCATCAACTATCAGCTTCTCGGCTCATTTGTTCTATGAAAACTCAGTTCAATCTTAACTCTACAAAGCACAACCCTCAAAGGGGTTTGATTTTATGCTATGACTCGAGAGACTAAGATTTTCTTATGGGCATCTCAAGGTGGGATTCTGTTTTAGGCATCTCCAGTTACCAAAATTGGCATTCAATCAACTCTACAAAAACTGGTTTTGATCCTAGCTCTATAAAGCATGACTCTCAAAAGCCTGACTTCCATTATTATGGCTCATGAGATTGCAAATCGTCACTTTCGAGTCGTCATTTTCAAGTTATCATTCTCAGCTACAACCATAACACATGACTATGGGTCATGCATCTTTACTTCAGCTACGACCACAGTGACCCCGAGTCACACATTTTATTTTAGCTCCAACCACATGACTTCAATCATTACTTTTATTTCGGCTCCGGCCCTTATGATGCCGGTCATTGCTTATTACCTTGGCTCCGGCCACATGACTCTGGTCATTACTTATTACCTCAGCTCCAGCCACATGACTCCAGTCATTACTTATTATTTCGGCTCGGGTCGCTATGACTCCGGTCATCATTATTTGCCTCGGCTCTAACCATAGTGACCCCGAGTCACCTATATTACTTCGGCTCTAGCCACAATGATTGAGTCATCAATTTTACTTCGGCTACGGCCATAACACATGACTCCATGTCATGCAATTTTACTTCAGCTACGGCTATAACACATGACTCCGTGTCATGCATTTTTTACTTGGCTACGACTCAAAACACATGACTCTATGTCATGCATTTTTACCTTGACTGCAGCAAAAAACACGACTTCATGTCATACATTTTTATATTGACTACCCCCGTCTACACTCATCTTCCACACTAATCATTCACAAGTGAATGACTTCGAGGGGGGAATAGTGTAAGGATAGGTCCAAGGTTAAGGACCTCGGACGTACTGCTATAATTCCTTAATAACCGAAGTGAAGCACTTCCTAGTCAAACAGCTACATGACAGTTACGGTGAGCATGCCCACACCAGAATTTCTCTTAATTTCTCGGTCCCGAATTTATCTCTTTAAGGAACACATCACACTCCGATTATCCTGCTAAGCAAGCCACGTGGATACCTCACAAAGGCCTATAAATACCCCCAGGGGCCACCTCAGAAAGGTAATTGAAATCAACCTTAAGCTCCTTTTATCTCCACTCTAAAGGTAACCCCGATTATTGCTGACTTAAGCATCGGAGTGTCTACCCCGAGGACCCACCTTAGGGCTTTGCAGGTACATCTGAAGTGAAGATGCGGACTGAAGAAGGACTTCTGGTTTGGTGCAATTACAGTTCTATAGGAACATCAGTATGAGACAGTATTTGGTTTTTTATGCGAAGGATTTGGATACATCCCTAAAGCTGGTGAAAGCATCAAAGTTGTCCTCGAAAGGGATAATCAAGATGATGATGATGATAAGCACGATGAAGATGGATCCAATCATCAAGATGTGAAGGCATCAAATATATAGACTTGAGGTAGGGTAAAAGCACTGAATGGATTTCAGTGAAAAAAAACTAGGAAAAAAAAAGCATGTAGCTAGCAATCATGCAGTCTCTTCCACGCGTAACTTTTTGAAATGAATGCTATTATGAGGGCATGCATTTGTTCATGGAGGAATCTGCTTTTATATTGCTCATCCTATGAGATGCTTCATTTGGTGGCTCAGTTTGCTAAATTAAACTTAGCAACTGATAATAATAATTCATGTGCTCCATTTTTGTGTAACATTCAAGTTTAAATATTTTTTTTTGGAAAATAAATTATACATGTGATAACTATATAGGCCAATAAGATTAAATCTTGAGCATCCAATTGAATAACTGATTAATGTGAGTGAAATGTTGTCCTAGTGCAGGTATTAGCTGCAAATGCCTGAAGGGTTGGTGCTGTTTGTTTTGAGCAGATAAACAATGGGGAAGCAATGTCAGAGACCAAAGAAATAACTCAATTGATTCCCAAAATCATGAGGAAAGGGAACGGTGACAAATTGGATAACATTATCTATGTTGAGAATGCATTTCAAAATTAAAATCAGAATTTATTTTTTAATTTAAAATTTTACATTTTTAGGACAATTATTAAATAATAATTACTATTTATTCTATGCTCTTAAGATACATGATAGAAAAATCTTTTATTTTATTCCTCGATTCCGTTATGTAATATATAGCCATGATATGGCTGGATTTACTGTGTACCGCACTGTTACTTGTGGAACTTATTTATGATATTTCAGTTATTGCCCAAAAAACAATGTTTGGGAAGGAAGTTAGTGAAAAAAAATGCAAGTGAGGCATTAAAGTTGGATAAAGAAATTTATGTTTTTCTTTTCTTCATTTTTTACTTCTGGTTCCCATTATCTGTTTCAGATGAGGACCACTCAAGCTCTCAGCATCTAAAATCAAATGTGAAAGGTATATAATAAGCCAAATTTTGTCTTTCTGCCTTCACTGAACAACACCTTACCCGCTTATTCCACGGATGCTCTGTAGAAAGAATTGAACCCACCATGGCATTATCGGTTGACTTGACTTCAAAAAAAAACTTGACTTGGAAAAAAAAAAAAAACGAAGTTTTGCATAATTGCATCAATTAGGGTAGGTATTAGCCGTATGAGAAACGAAGAACATATATTATTTTTTGGGGACTGGGTTGTGTGATCTGGGGTGTGGGTAAAAGGTGAGCCCTCTTGGTCGTAAAGATTTTACACATATACATGCCTATCTTTGATCAGTTAAAGTCTTGATAATCATAAATAATTAATTTGAATTGCTTTCCAACTAATATTGACGCGGTTTGGAAAAGACTTGGCTTAAAAGCTCTTTTTTAATGTTACTCAATGACAATTAGTCCCATTAGTTAATTGAGATGTTTCCTTATAATTGCTTTCTTAGAATCAATTCCTAACCAAACAAAAGATTACGTTGTTACGCATATTTTATGGTTAATGATGATCCATTGATCTATTTTAATATTATATGAAGATCACAATGAAAAAAATTTACCCAGCTCTCACTCAACTACTCTCATTGGTGCAAGTATTTGAAATTTTTTTTTCTTAAAAAGCTCTTTTCAAATATACTAAAGGTGTTTAGTAAATGTTAAAAAATATTTATTTGAGAGTACTATTCATGAGTTTAAAATTTTGTTAGATGAAAATTTAAAAATTATTTTCTAATGTGAATATCTGAAAAATGCAATTTTGTCATCTCTAATCCCATGACCTTTCATCAATTTCTCAGTCTTTTTTTTTTTTACTAAAAAACCCTGTTGGATTCTGACAAATCGAAACATTCAAGAGTTTTTAATAAACTTTCTTCTAAACTTCAATAAAAATTGAAGAAGAATAAAGAAAGTCAACTTACCATATGTTTCCAAGTCCGCAAGAGATGGAAACCAAAGTTTAGAGAAAGAGAAATACATTTAGTGGAAAATTATTTGTTCCAAAAAGTAGCAAAACCGATGTTGGACCTTTTATAAAAAAAATCAAAAATAACTTTTGAGTTTTTCAATCCTGTTTGTCCATCACTTCCTTGCAATTGCTTACAAGTTTCCTTAATTACATTTTCTTGATCACATTTGTTAAGTACATGTAAAAATTGACATGCAACAAAAATGATGGACGTATATACCAATATATAATGCAAGAGTGAAAGAGTTTCCGATCAAATTAGGAGCCAATTTCTAAATTTTGAATTGAAATCATAGTACCATGACTTAGACTCAATTAGGTCTTTTGTCAATTTTGTTTGTAACCTTTTCTTTCTTTTATATATAAAGTGCATCCTTATCCTTTTTATTAATTATTCAGACTTATTCTAGAAAAATAAAAATGTGAGAAATTAACAAATACATAAAATTTAGAATGAGAACTACAATAAGTGATTATATCATGTGTTCTACTCACCCCATTTAAAGTAAATGATTGTAAATTATATTAAATAATCTTTTGATATTAGTATTTATCTACTAATATTTGTTATATATATGTATATATATTAAGAAATGCAAGTAAGTAATTTTTTTAAATTATTAATTTTAATTTTTAAATAAAAAAATATCTTCTTACATAACAAAAGTAAAATTCCTTATTAAGATTGACATTACTAATTAAAGTCATATTAATAATGTGATTGTAATCATTAATTACTCCATCTAATTTCGAAGTAGAAAAATAAAATAGGAGTCGGAAATGTAGATTCGAAAATAACACCTACTGTGGATCAATATTACATTCTATATTTTCATTTATTTTTATTTTGATGGAATATATTCAATTATTAGCATTCCTCAATTTCAAACCCTCTATATGTACTCTTCTTGAGTACTCTATTGCGCCAAACAAAGATATGAGGATCTACACAAAGCTCTCTGCACCACTCTGCCTCCTTTTTGTCTTCCTCTGTCTTAAAATTGCCTTCTCATCCTCTATACATGCTTCTTCCTTCTCAACAACGCATCTCTGCTCTCATGAGGAGGCTCTTGCTTTGCTGCAATTCAAGACATCCTTCTCCATCAATTACACTGTTCCGTATTAAGATTCTTGTGGGGAAATTTATTCTAAGATGTTTTAGAGCTTCTGATTTCATGTTTCCTGAATAAGTGCCTTTCGGGTTTGTAGTTCTTGTTGTGGCTGGCATTGGCTTGTCTAAAAGAATCACAAAAAAAATGTTTTATAAGGTGAACTGTACATTAAATGTGTAGTTTGATTTATAAATCAATTTATTGAAATATTCTTAATAAAATAATATAACAACTAATTTTATTAAAGATGTTTTAATAAATTTATAAAGAGAATTTCACTTTTAATATGTAATTCGTACCATAAAGAATGGCAAAAGTAAGAACAATAAAGAAAGTGATAAGAAGTGGGAGCCAAAATTTAAAGAACTATATGTGGTGAAAAATTATTTGTTTCAAAAAATAACAACGTTAATATTGGATCTTTTATAAAAATGACCAAAATAACTCAAGTCTTTTACTCTTTTTTGTTCATCCTTTCTCTGCAATTGCTTGCAAGTTTCTTTGTTTACATTTACTTGACCACATTTGTCAAGTAAATGTGAAAATTGATAAACAATGAATATGATGTATGTATATGTCAATATGTAATGTAAAAGTGAAAGAATTTTAAAATAAGAATCAATTTTTAGATAATTTAAATCCATAAATGAAATAGATAATTATAAAAATTTTAAACTAAAAAAATACCATGAAAAGATTCATATTTAATGAATGTATAAAAATATCTCTCTTAAATTCTTTGTAATTATTTATCATTTTTTAATTATATTTTTATAAAGGAAAATCCTTCCAATTAGTGATAGTCCTAGCCAAAAAATTATATGTAATAAATACGGCATTGACGAAAGCTTTGTTTCCCACTTCAGCCACTGCTTTTTCTTTATTTACTCCGATCAATCCGGCTTCCTCATCCATCAACTCCTCAATTATAGCAAGACGATTTTGTTGCGAGACTTTTGCTCCTTGACTTCTATCGAGAGCCACTGATTTCACCAAGTTTCCCGCTATAAATTGTGGAGAAGCAGAAATTTTAATTGATTGATCTATAAAAGATTTTATAATTTATTATTATAAATTACATTAAATAATTTTTTAATAT